TGCTGCGCGGGGGCCTGGACGCGGCCGGCGGCGAGGGGCGAGCGCCACCGACAGCGAGGAAAGAGGGGTCACACAGGGAGAGGAAGAGGGAAAAATGCATAAAAGTTCTTCTTTGGCTCAAAACTAGTGCCCGTGGTTTCTTAGTTTTGCCCTTATAGGGACACAGCTGAGCTCAGATGCACGGGTAGCTCCCACAGCTCCCGCCAAGTCACCGCGGTGGAGCCCTTCCCCAGCCTGCGGAGCATGTCCCGGTGCTGCACCTCGTCCAGTCCGCTCCCAGCCTGGGATTTCATGGACATATCCCCCAGCAGATACCCGGGAACGTGTCTGGAAAGCGTGCCCTTGCAGGGGTACTGCTCCATGTAGCCCTGCTTTCTTCTACCCCTTGTCTGCTTTCCTTCCCATTTGCAGGGACTGTGTTTCAAGTTCCTCCTCTTTGAGGAGAAAAGTAGATTTAGAAACAACTATTATTTCTGAAATCAAAAAAACATTGTGGGCTCGTAAACCTTGACATGCAAAATGCAGTGAGCACCCACAGTTTAGACAGTACTCAGGTCTTGCTACCAGAGGAGAGACTTTATATTTCATTGTCATGAATAGTGCAATCCTCTCCTCACACTAATATGGTAACTCATAAAAGCAAGCTGAGACTTGAGATTATGTTTGGCTTTCTGCCTCCTATTTGGGGCAGTTTTTAAAGGATTCTCGTATGAATTGAGCGGCTTTTGTACAGGCAGCTCAGTCTTTTGTACCAAGGCACTTTCTGATGCACTATAGCTACATGTTCCTTTCTGATGCAAGAACTGGAAGGGATCAAGGGAGCCCAAGTGACTTCGGAAATGCTCAGAAGAACTAAAAAGTGGCGGATACTTTTTATCTCGGGAGGGCTTTCCGCTAATGTTACTTTATGGGGGGAACTGGAGGACTAGAGCAAAGTGTTGCTTATAGCACAGTCACCTCAGTGACTGGCAAGTTCTCAGATGACCACTGGAAGTAACAAGTGATGCAGCAAAAATAATTGGGTCTCCCTTTAGGGGAAGGGTGAGGCATAGTCATGGAACAAGGAGATCCTGAGAGAGGATACCAAGGGAACAGGGTAAATGGAGAAGTATTGTGAAAAGGTATCTTGGGATTTTAATGATTTTTGTTTTGCATGGTTTGAAAAATATGCACTGGTCATTAATTTTTAAAATGCACTTTTTCAAAATATTCTTTCTCACTTGCCATATTGAGTTAGTGCAAATAGCCTTGACAACTGTTCCTTTCCCTTTGGCATCTTCTGACAGATCATAGAATCATAGAATCATTAAGGTTGGAAAGGACTTCTAGAGTTCGTCTAGTCAAACCCCCCTGGACATGCAGGGTCACCTAGAGCACATGGCACAGGATTGCATCCAAGCGGGTTACATGTGTGAAGACACTTTTGAATGGAAGTTTAGACTCAGTCTTTGTTATGAAGCTATTCCTTGAAGCTTTTAATTTGTAAAATTCACGTGTCTAATTAAGGTAGTGATGCTGTAACTCACACAGTAAATGAGCAGTTTAAATATACTGTCTGTATTATAGTCAAAACTCATTATAGAGCACATAACTATGTATGCTGTAGATAATTTCAAAAGCATGCCCATAAAGGCACAGAATATTTACAGCAACCTGAAAATAACACTATGGGATTGAGTTTATTTCAATACACAGTTTGTAAAAGTAGTCTAAAGTAATTTAGATAAATTTCGATCTTCATTTCTCATGTTTTACTTCTAGTTTTTGTTTTTTTCTCTCCTTTGAAAAAAAAAAGTTTTCATTTTTGTTTCTTAAACTTTTCTTGGCAGGGGGAATTTTTCTAGGTACAGTTGCTTTTAGGAATGATAGCAGGTTTTGGCACGACACTTGCCATGGCAAAAAAGAAGAATCCAAACTGGTTCAGTAAGGTTTGTTCCTTTTAAGTTGCTTTCCAGTTATGATGCACAGGGAAAAGAATGCATAAAATTCCCTATAGAAATGGTGATACATGTGGGATTTAGCTGTACAAAGTTGATGGTATGAGCATTAGGCTTAATTGAAGTAAAGAGGAATAGGATAATTTAAAAATCAATTTGGAGTTGACATTGCCTAATACTTTGGTACTTTGGATTAGTTGAAATAAAGCAACATTAAACTTACTCTGTTCTCTGTAATCATACTACTGCTACATAATTCATAATCTTTTGATTCTGTGATATGAATATATTTCATTCTCATGAGCTGGCATCACTTCCATCATCCATAGTCTCATATATAGGATTGGGAAGGGTGGTAGCTGTGGAGTAGGGGTGGGAATGAAAAGGCAGGAAGACTGAAAACTGTGGAAAATATAATGTGGAGTTATTTAGTTAAAATTTGAGCTCTCCGCCCCATTCCTGCCATGTAAGGGGACTGAAGAGCATGAGCAGTAGATTGGTCCAAAGAGATCTGGCAGACAAAACTATGTCTCAGGCAATTGCATAGAGTGCTGAATCTGAGTATCCTGTTATAAAAAAAGAAAGAAAACTGCAAAGCAAAACTAACAGTTATACCATGTCTGTAAATTAGAGCACACTTATTGAAGAGCACTTTTTTCCTTCATTAACACTTTGCTGTTGCTGTACATGTCAAAAATAGGCCCATAAAACTGATCAGTCTCTATTCCACTATAACCTTAAAATACATTAACTATTATAGAATTTTTGAGGGAGCTGAAAACTCATAGTTATTTTTAACATGTTAATTTAATAAAAACACAAGAGTAAAAATATAGCACTTTTGTATAGCACTAAGTTTATCAGAGACTTTATATCTGATCACTGAGCAGTCTCCTTTTGTGGTTTAAGAAGTATCTTTCCTTTGCCATCATATTTTCTTCTCTAGTTTAAGAACTGACAAATAACTCATCCACTGGCCTTTCAGTACCAATTCCCAATTTCCTTCCAATACTGTAATTTTCAAAAATGAAGAAGCCACTGTCTTTTCAGAAAATGAATAGTAAGATCTTGACAGCTTTAAGAAAATAAATAACAGAGGATATCAATAGTGGAAAACTTAGGGGATTCCTTATTTTTAATGCCATTATATGCAGGAGCAGCTGGAGATACCTGTCTTCTGGCAGCAGGCACAGTTCTAGCAGAATTTTTGGAACCATAAACTTTAGCATACAGTTAAATACAAGTTTTAGAAAATAAATCAGGATGCTTATAGAAACTATTTGTGCTTCGTTCTGAGTTAACATTGCATTTTGTAGGTTACAGATTGAATTCTCTCAGCCTTACAAAACTCAGATGTTTTTAACCTTACAGTGTAAATTTTCCTTTTGAGGAAAAAGCAGTTTGACGAATAAAAAGAAATAATCGTGCAGTAGTTACAAATACGGCTTTATTAAAATTTCTTGATATACAAGTGCAGTTTCACTGGCTTTACACATAGGTTACCCATTTGTTTCTTTTATATCTTCTTGTTGTATCATTAATTCTAGAAATCTAAGATTCTGAAAGGGAGGTGTAACAATACATGTGCGTTTCTTATTTGAAATAGGTAAAACTTTATGAGAAGTTGTTCCTTAAGCTATAGAAATGTATTACAAGAAAGAACAGCTTTCTCTATCTGTTTGTTTGTTTGTTTGTTATTATTATTTTTAAACATACTTTTTCCTGGGTGTTGCATTTTTCCAAGATAGCACAATTTCAGTGCTGTATATTTTTGGCTGTCTGGCCTGTCCCAACATCAGTGTGAAATTTATCAATGGTGACATGAACTTGACCTGCAAGAATATATATGCTGGGAATGGCACTGAATGATACATACTATTTTTTTGTTTTTTGCTGAAAATCTGTGCCTGTTATTCTCTGTATGAATTCCAACGGGTTGCTAGCGATGTTTTTAATTCCTGCATCCCTCAAACTCTGTGAAGTGTAGAAGAAAATGCATCTTGTCACAGTGCTGGCAGGTGAATAATGAAAGCGTAAATATCGATAACTAGAGTTTACCCTTTCTACACGTCCAATGCCCAAATATTATTTTTACCCTTGTTAAGGTGAGGCCATAGTTTCTCAGTCACTTTAAGCAAACATAAGGCAGCATTGCTATTCAAAGAAGCAACCATATCATGCCTTAGTTCCTGGTAATTCATTCCTGCCCCTGTATGTGTGCAATCCTAGGTTGGTGAGGTGGTAACCTATTAATGATACTTATTTTTCCCCTGCATTAGTCTTAGTCCAGATTGGTCTTCTGATGCCATTTCACTGGTGACTGCAGTGACTGCTGTCATGAAGCTGTGGGATGAGATGTAAGAGTCGATATTGGCAAGTAGCATGAGATTTATTCTCTCAGCATCTTTGCTGGCTTGTGCCAGCTGTTGTGTGTGTGAAACGGCAGCATTCAAGTCAAAGCAGAAACAAGAAGCAAGCATAATACAGCCTGGGCAAATTTAAATAGTTTATGGAAGAAAACACCGCCATGTGGTGGGAAAGCTGTGCCAACACTGTAAGCTTCATGACTACCTTGAGCTTTCAAGGAAGCTAAAGTATAAGACCCTAGTCTCACAGGATAGCGTCAAGTTATGGGCAAAAAATAATGTGGAAATTGAATTTACTATACGCCTTCATTTGTACTAAAGTTAATAAAATATTATAAGCATTTGTAAATCCAGAGCACAAATTTACTCAAACCTGAGATTACATACTTCTGTTTTGTGATGAAGTGCTGCAGAGATCTTCAATTAAGAAATGATTCTTTTCACAGGGTAAAATTAAATGCTCAAGATGCCACAGCAAGTGTCCAGTAGCCAGCATTTATCCAGGTGTTTAATTTTACAGTTGGCTAAGTCATATAAAACCGAGCAAAGTGAATGCAATCAACCAAAGCAGTTGAGCGTACCATTTATTTTAGGCACCTTGAATACAGCAGAGCTTCCTTTCAGACACAGATCTTATCCACAAGAGCACAGTTACAGAACCGAAGCCCATGTCTGGAGAAAAAAAAAATCCGTTCTCTTCCTTCCTGCTCATATAGAGAAGAGAAGACAGAGAGGAGATCTGATCAATACATACAAGTACCTGAGGGGAGAATGTGGGGAGGATGGGGCCAAGCTCTTCTCGGTGGTGGCCAGTGATAGGACAAGGGGTAATGGGTACAAGTGGAAACACAGGAGGTTCCATCTCCATGTGAGGAAGAACTTCTTTCCTGTGAGGGTGACAGAGCCCTGGAACAGGCTGCCCAGAGAGGCTGTGGAGTCTCCTTCTCTGGAGATCTTCCAAACCCGCCTGGATGCCACCCTGTGCCACGTGCTCTAGGTGTCCCTGCTGGAGCAGGGGGGTTGGACTAGGTGATCTCCAGAGGTCCCTTCCAACCTCAACCATTCTGGGATTCTGTGATATCCTCCAGAAAACTAGATGTAATGCGAAGCATACATTTTGGGAACCAAATTGCTTAATTCTGACCTATATTTTCCTTGTCTATTTTATAAAAAGACTCAAGCATTGTTCTAATAGCTTATTTATTAAATTGAAGAGTTTCTTTAAAAAAAAATGAAAATAATGTGTACATAGAATAACAAGCTTGTGAATAAAACTCTGGTCTCTTAAAAATGCTCTTTTGTTGGCGACATGTTTTTCCTCCATACTGTTTGACTGTTGTCTTTTTCTTTTTTTAGCATTTTGTTAATCAGCTTTCTTGATGCTTGGAACAGCAAATCAGCATATCTGATAATCACATGACAAACAATGTTGTTTACAGAAATCTCATGCTGTGTACTTAGTACCCCTGAGGAACCAGCTTGTGACTGAACACCCTTTGACACTGCTGTCAGTAAAGCCAGATCAATTGTTTCCATTTTTGCTTTTTCTCTGGGGCAATCAAGCATTTAAATAGCATTCTCTCCCTCCACCCCCAGCAATTTTTGCAGATAATGATGTCTATTTAAAGATTGTGTGTGGAGAATATTTCTGTCATTTTTTTCCCCATCTTCTAAACCAAAGAAATTCTAACTGTTGTATATGTTTATGACATTATTCCTATTTCAGTTGTCTAATTTTAAATGTATTCAATACAATTTCTACTGAAAGAATTATGAAGTGTATTAGTTATGTTAAAGCAGTAACAAGACATAGTTTAGTGGTGTGACTAGAGATCTCTTATCATTTATGTCTGTGCGTGATGCCCAGATTTTAGACTGGGCACACATCAGGTCAGGACAGGGCTTAATGTGTTTAGACTGTCTGTACCAGCTTCCACTTTGGGATGTGCAAATCAGAATAAATAAAGATCAAGATGGTGCTGCAAGTGTGCATCTGCCCTTGGACAACTATGTCTAGGAGGATATCCTAAGGACAAGTGTTAATGCTGAGGATTGTCTAGGGATCATTTTAACATTCTGATAAATACAAAGCCAAGGAAAAAAAAAATACTGATGCTATTGCCCAAATACCGTAAGAATAGGTGCTGTACATTTGCTTCATTACATCAAAGAAGAAAGAGCAAAATTCAAATCTTTAGAAAAACCTTTAAGAGAAAACGCAATATATTTTTCCTGCTTTATTTTTGTGATGAAAAAAGACTAGAAAAGTGCAGGTGTGTGGCATGTTTTGGAGGATTTTTTTAATTTTACTTTTCAGAATTCTAGGCTATAAATTAAGTATTTTTATTGAATATATTTGTGTGCTTGTACACTCATTTGATATCCTACTCCTTGATCTTATATAATTGATCAATAATTGTCCTTTTTGGAGGTTGCCCAATAAGACTCTTCAGTTGTATAAGGACTACGTATATGAGTCTTAACTATTTTCTGCTAAGATCTGTGTTTCTGTGTGAAGAATTGAACAGTGAAACTCATGAGGAAAATAAGCTCTTTTGCTGATATTTACCCCAGGAGTGCAGGGAGGATGTTGTCTCTTTGACTGTTATTCTAGGGTTCATGGATTGCAGCTGTACGATAGGAAATAAATACACTGAGGCAGGCATCTCACCACAGCCACGTGGTGAGAGTGTCTGGCTAACTGTGAACTTGCAGCGTGAACTGGTTGGTGCCAACTGGCGCACAGCTTGTGCCCTTGGTAGCTGCACTGTGCGTTTGTGTGCCACGGCGGGAAGGGCTCATCGTGTTGGGGGGTCCACCATGACTGAGGCACCATTCTTCTTGGCCTGGGATGGTTTTTCCAAGTGAAGCGCTTTATGCTATGGGAACATGGCTTGTGGATGACTCCTAAGTATCTGAACTGTAAAACCTGTACTCTGTAAAAACTGTAAAAAATGGTTTAAAATGCATGCTATTGTTTCTGACCTGTTTTGTGTCTTGGCTGGTGGAATAACTGAATGCCCATTTGTTACGCCCACAAAACACTTGACTGAAGTATTTCTGAGGCAGTAAAAATCATCCTCAGGTGCTTCTGGTGACCTTGAAACCTGTTCCTGCAAGCTAATATGAGCGAGGCAAAGAAAGCCCTGGAAGATGGCTAAATCTAGTTAAAGAACCCATGAACCTGCAGTGCCTTAATGTAGGGCTCCAGACCGTGCCAAGTTGCCATCTCATCAGCGTTTGGTGGGAAGATAGACTGTGTGCCCCTTGCTGGGCTCTCTGGGGCCCTACCAGAGTTTCTGTAGCTGCACCAGTACACCTGGTGTATCAGACAAACTTTTAGAGCAGTGTTTTAACTTTTTTAGTCTACAGGGCTTTTTGTTTGTTTGTTTTGCAATTTCTGTTCCCTTGATCACTTCATTTTGTGAATCTTAGGGTATCACTGCCACAGCCGCGTTACCGGAGAGGGGTTCATCGCTGGCCTTACGAGCCCTAGGATGGGGCTCCTTGTACGCGTGGTGTGGAGTTGGATTGCTGAGTTTTGCCATCTGGAAAGCTCTGGGAGTTCACAGTGTGAGTACCAACTACATTCCCCTCAAATACCATATTTTTCCTTGGGCAAGTCATCTAGATATGCCATGTTTTCACTAAATCTCTGTGCCACGCTAGCCCAGCAGTATCCCCTCATTCCCTGCACATACAGTGGCTAACCAGAGATATGTATAGCAGAAAGGCTTTTTTTTTTTGCATCTCCCACAAACAGGATGTTGTAGGAGACGGTAGTTTTGGAGGAGAAACAGTTTAGTCCTGCTTGTGCTTATAAGCATAATGTTTCAGATCCTGCACAAAGCAGTCACTGTTCTACTTTCAAGACTAAAATAGTAGCCGCCAGCTCTGTCTTCTATGCTTGTTGAATTAAAGGCTAACCACTGAATCCTATCTTTAGGGCAATGTCTTCCTGGGTCAAAGTTTCACTTTTTGCATCAGGGCACTAGTGACCCATGAAAAATGGAGAAGAAAATTGCTTTTTTTGTAGTGCATTCCTGGAAGGGGCAAAATGGCAGGAATTTGAGGTGGCGTGTTTAATAGAGGGGAGTTCCTTAATAGGCAGTGTTGAGGCAGAGTAACTGAGGAAGCATCTCTGTGTCCCAAGGGCCGCAGCTATCTTTAGTAAACTGCTTGTGTTCCAGCACTTCACAGCAGTGAGCATGGACACTAAAGTTCCTGCAGGCGTTTTAGTTTTCTCCTAGTAACATACCATGACTTAACGGTTCCCTGCAGCCCTAAGTTTGGCAAGCTCAACTTCTTTACCTTCTTTGACAAATTACTTACATAGTCAGCAAAGCACTTCCTGATCTCCCAAAACCAAAAGGGGAGAAAATTTACACTCCATCATGATGCCATCCTCAATAATATCCCTATTCTAATTCTCACTTCATGGCCACTCTGCTAATTAATTTTCTAAGTAAGGATTTGGGGTCCAAGAGCAATGGATAATGGGTTCCAGTGGATAATCACAAGTCCCTTAGTTTCCAGCACCGATTCTTAATAGGAGTCAGTAAAGCACAGCAGGACATAGCAGGAAGCTGCAAAACATTTTGTTTAAACATATATCCTTGTCAGGCTTTTATGAAATAGTACAGGAGGAGGAGGAAGAGCAGGAGTGCCAATTTATACTCTCTGCATGCTGAGTTACAACAGTCCACACCGTTTACTGTCAGCTGTTTCATTAGCCAGAAGGATTCAGAGCATGATTTCACATCATGATGCTGATCCTTATTTCCATTCAGTATTTCTGGCCCTGCTGAAGTACAGCAGAATTTGGCTCTAGTAGGCAGTTTATGATAAAAAACTTAGCTGGAGGAGGGGAGGAAAAAAAAAAAAAAAAAGTATTTCCTTGAGAAGTGTTGTCCTGGGCCCACAGTTGTTTGGTTTCCCTGTGAGGCTCTTCTTGAGATTATCTGACAGGGAAAACCCTGCAAGTTTGAGATGACCAAGCTCCAGCCACGTCACAGTCTGAATTAGGGACCCTAGAACTTCCTGATAGCAGTGGTTCTTGTGTCCTAAGTCTGCAGGGTAATGCAGAGCATTTTAGAGACTACTAGGTTCCTAGCTGTATCTTATAATATCCTGTACTCTATTCTGTACTGTGGTACTATTGATTACAATAGTAATCATATTTGATTTGTGATCATATTTGACAAAGGAAAAGGAGATGGGGGAAAGCTTTAACTTAAGAGGCTCTTGCTAGTGCCCTGTTGTGAAGATCTCAGGTTTCACAGTATTGGACAGTTAAAAACTCCAGAGAGTGAAGGAAGCATACTTCTCTCAAGAGACCTTATCAGCATGTGGTTTTGAACAGTTCTCTTCCTGCTGTCTGCTGATGAACATTTTTTAAATTTTGTATTTACTGTAGACTTTTAATTTCCACTGCAGGAAGGAAACACATATGATAATGCTACTCATTACTGCATAAGCAAAAATTGTCATTTGTAAATTTGCTGACATGCCTTTCATTTTTCTGCCTTACTATGTGTCTGTTAAAATCAAATATGTATTTTTAAAATATCTGGAAGTGCAAAAACTAAAGAAAGTGAAATATCCAGACTATTTTAGAGCTTAAATACCATTTTCCTGAACAGGTGAGAGCTTTGCCTGCAAATAAGGGTTACAAGCTAGCTAATGCATCATTAGTTCTGGATTCTTAGACATATAGTCATTTTAATAAGGGCCAGTTATTTATCAGAGGAAGAGGATTCTTTTAAAACCTCTTAATTACAATCATGTGACCAGAGTTAAAAATAAAATCAGTTAAAATACTAACTTCTGTGGAAAAAATAGAGTCAAATACTTTCAGATAACCATATAAAATGAATAAAATTCAAATGATGAGAAACTATTCACAGAAACTATTATTATATGAAATTTAGCTTCTTAATACATAGCTTGTTCAAACCACAGCAGACACTGAGCTCAATGTTTTCACACGAACATTTTCATTCTAGTTAAATGTTTTTTAAATAGGTGCTACTACAGATTTACCTGAATAAAAATATTTTGGCTCTTCAGTGTACTTGGCTTCTGTTGCTCTGCAATACATGCAGGTAGTAGCACAGCAGACCTATAGAAGTATAAGTAACAATTTCAAACCTAGTATTGACTTGAATAAAGTCAAGTCAAAACATACCTAGTACAGACTTAAAAATTGTGAAATTAAGACAGGCCTTATCTGCTGAACATACTGTACTCAATGTACCTTAGAAGAAGTTTGGTTCAGTTGGTTGTGGGGAATCTCTGCTGAATTAATGTCAGAAGTTTTGGCAGCTGGACAGGCAGAGCATTTTGCCCTCCCTCTTCACTTAACCTGCCCTGAACAGTACCCAGCTGCTGTGGGGAGCTGCTAATCAGTCCTCTGGCCCTGTTAGCACCTGCACTCAGCTGGGCCACAGCCTGCTGACCTCAGTACCGCTGGTAACAGCGTTGCTCACAGCTAAGAGACTCTGCTGATACCCAGTTATTAAACATAATAAAATTCCACTGGTAAGCACCACAGATCTTTCACTTTCCAAACAACTGCTACAGCTTCTGCTTTTTCAGGGAAAAAATAATAAGTCTGGCTTGTGATCCTCAGCTGCCAAGTGCCAGGCCGTGCTTCCCTCCGGCCAGCCTCAGCGCTCACCGCGGTGGCTCTCCTACAGCCACGGCTTCGGAAACCAGCGTTGCGGTAGTTGCAAAAGGCTGCTGTTAGCTTCATCCAGGAGCAGTGGTTTTGTGTGGTGTTGCTGCCAAAATGCTGCCTTTTCTTTATTTTTTTTTAATATTGGTTCTTAAAACTGCTGTGACAGTGCCTACTTCCAGCTCTTAAATGGCTTTGTTGTTAGAGGTGGTTCCTGGTAGCTTTACAGTCTGCTGCTCTTTACACCAGCGTGAAATCCCAGGAGTGATAATAAGCAACGTATCTTTATCTGTTTGTAAGGGATATAAAAGATTTTATGCTGTCTCAGGTTAGGTTGTTAATATCCCCTGACTGCAGTTATCACTGCTGTAATCTAAGAATAGGTGCGCAAGTAGTAAACCCTCCTAAATTCCAGTCAACTTGTATCCCTAAATCATGAAGTGATGGATCAGTGAGGATTTGATCTTACAGGAGGTTAAACTCTATCTTTATTCATGAAAAATGAAATCTACATTTTCAGTACCTAGGAGTATAGGTTCACTCTTCTCAAGTGTGCCCCTTTTCAGAACTTACCCAGCTGTCAGTAATAGCATGACTTTTAACTTGCTTCCTGCAGGCTCTTGGGAACATGATTCAAATTGTGTCCACTTCTGTTCATCACAGGGCATAGAAGCTCTGTTTACATCAGCAAGCACCACAGACCAATAGGACTGGGTCAGCAAAACAGCTGGTGCTGAGAACCTGATATCCATCCCCTTTCAGTGGGTTTTGGTGGTTGCTTGCTTGGGTGTTTTTTTGTTTTTGTTTTTTTTTTGATTTTCTTGATTTGGACTAACTCTGGCCTTGTCCTTCAGCTCAATTGCTGAGGTGCATTCCTGGAACACATCTTCAGTTTAGTTTTACCCTGAAGGAATCCAGTTCATGCAAGGGAGATTTGCTTCAGAAGAGCTCAGGCTCCTATCTGAACTAGGATACTCATCTAGGCACACCCGAAGTATTTTAATAGATAAAAGCATGCATAATCTTAAATGTAAGTTTCATAACTGATATATGCAATAGAAAGGGAAATGTCTGCACTTTTAACATGTATATTTGCTATCTAATAACTTTAACACCGTGGTATTATCTCTCTCTCAACTACGAAACTGTAAACTTATGGCACAGTGGGCTGACGGTTTTTGATGGGAAACACAGAGGTATCAAAGGTTTGGTTTTTGTTTTTTACCTTGACTCAGGAACTTTACATCTTGGATGTCTATAAAAGTAAGACAGGCACCATGTTGATGGCTTGTTTTAATGAGTGTTACGGGTTGGATCCACGTTTGTGAAATAAATTACTCTTTTTTCCTTTTTTCTTTTTTGTTTTTTTTGAAGAAGTCCTTCCTGATCCATCTCCACAACCCTGAGTGTTTGATTCTTCTTGCCCTGATTGTCAGTCTTCTGACTCTAGAGGAGTTTCAGAGTCTGACTCCCATGGAGCAGATTGTCAAGCTACACCATTTAAATCTACTCCTATACTGCATCCAGTATGAATATTTATCAGGAATAATTAATGATGATAATCATCTCGTTGATTAAATAGAATCACTATATCCTATGAAAGATTATTTCATCAAAAGAGAGCTTCTGG